GAATCCGGGCTATCTCATGTCACTTGCTGTCTGTCACAGGCCATGGAAACTTCTTCCTTGTTCTTTCCACAAGGTAAACTCCTTTACCTGGCAGCACCATTCTAGATATTTGGACCTTCAAGTTCTAAGACATGAGAACACGTAGAACACAGACAAGCCTGGTCATGTGAGGTTTGGCTTCCCGGTGTGGGTTCACAGCCAACAATGACGCTGAAGCCCAGGCCTCTGGCCTCAGACTCCTGGGTGTGAAGTAAGGTTTCGCCTTTTACCAGTTGTTTAATAAGAATTAAATTATTAGCCTCTGTAGGTCTCGAATTCTTTATCTGGACAATGAAAGCAATAAAGTTTTGTTTTCTGTAGGCTGTTGTGAGAAGTAAATGAAACAGTGCACAGAAAGCTCTTAGGTAAGAAGGAGGCTGCTGCTGGTGGCTCACGCCTTTAATCCCAGCACTTTGGAGGCAGAGCTATGAGTTCGAGGCCGGCCTGGTCTACAGAGTGAGTGCAGGACAGCCGGGGATACACAGAGAAACCATGTCTCTGGAAACAAAACAAAACAGAAATAAGGGGCAGAGGCTATTTCAGGCATAGAGTATTTGTCTAGCATATACAAGGTTTTAGGTTCAATCCTTATAGCCACAAATACAATTCACACATCCATATTCATTCCTATGAAAACTAACTTCTCCTGTATAATCCGTAGATGCTATCTCCTGTTCAAGCGACTCAGCTGTTAGATCATCACTGTTATTCTAGCAACATGAACTCACTCTGCAGAAATGCATAGCAGGAGTATGTATGTCACACTGCTAACCAGAACGAGATAGGGGTGGAGGGAATTCCTCCAGAAGGCTCTTCAAATGCAGCACGGGTGGTCGCTTTCTCACAAACAGCCTGGATTTGACACAGCTTCTCTATTTGCAGAAGGGGGGGGGTCGTTTTTATTTTTATTTTACTTATCTACCTAGATACAGACGAAGGAGATTGTTTAATCTGCATGTGCAGTGCTGGAGATTGGACCCAGAACCTTGCACCTTCCAGGGTGACGCTCCACCACTGAGCTGTATACCCACCTCTAAGGAGATGGACTGTAAAGATTGGTTCAGGCTTTTGCGGTGGCCAAAACCCGCTAAGAGGTACGATGTGCATGCCGGCGGCAGACCCAGGGAGTCAGTGCGTCAGTTCTTTCCCAAGTGCAAGGATGCACAGAAGGTCCCTCGGGTCCCTTGTCACTCAGCTTTGTACTGTTTTCTTCTTCATTTGGGCGAGCCCATCCACACGGAGGAGAGTGTCTGATTAGCCTGATGTTAGTTTCGTTCAGGAATGCCCTCACGGGTATACCCAGATGTTAGACACACACACACACACACACACACACACACACACACACACACACACAGGGATGGAAAAACCATGTCCCTCTGTCTTTCAAAGCTTCTACTGAGGAAGAGAAATGTGGGGTGAGGGTGGGAGGGAGGAGTATCAGTAATGGTTCTGGAACTGCTCAGGTCAAATAATTTTCTGAATGAGGATTTAACTATCAAAAAGGAAGCACACACCTTAAAAAATTATCATATTTATGAGGTTCTATATGATGTGTGTATGATCCCCGTATTATATTTTATGTGTGTGGGTGTGTTGCCAGCACGGTCTGTGTGCATGCAATGCTCAGTGGTACCGGAGGCCGGAAAAGAACATTGAATCCTTTTGGACCGGAGTTACAGACAGCTGTGAGCTGCCACGCGGCTGCCAGAAATGGAACCTGGGTCCTCTGGGAGAGCAGGCAGTGTTCCTAACTGCTGAGCCATCTCTCCAGCCCCCAGTACACATTTCTTACTCTACAGCCACTGCCAGTCTGCTCAGGCTGCCAAAACAAAGTAACTACAAACCGGGCAGCTTAAAGGGTAGAAGTGTATTTTCTTGGGTTGAAGGTCCAAGATCAAGTGCTGGTGAGAGACCCCTGAGTCCTGTCTCCTTAGTGGGCAGATGGTCACCTTGCTGTGTCCTCACATAACCTGTGGAGCTGTGTCCCTAGACCTGTAGGTCCTGTTGGATAATGGCTTTAGCCTTTTTTTTTTCCCTCCCCAACATAATATTTTTATTCTCTGGGAATTTCATATCATGCACCCCAATCACTCATTTTCCAGTCCTTCTGTGTCTTTTCCAACAACCTTTGTAACACCCCCAAAAATTAAAAAATACATATAATATAAAAAAACTAAGTCCAATTTGTGTTATCTATATCCTCACTGGAGGCATGGCCAAACTCTCAGTGGCCTGCCTCTTAAATAGAACTGAGTTCTCCCCTCCTCATTACACATTTTAAGGGTTCTTTTTGGTGGCCTCCTGTCTAGGCTGTTACTTATTTTGGGAGTGGGGTTGTGTATGGGCAGGGATTGTCCCAGAAGCCTCATGTCCCTCCCTCTCAACTCTGCATCTGCAGTCATCGATATCACAGCAAAGGTAGCCTCCTTGCTCTTCACAGTCAGCAGGAGCATGGCTCCTGGGCCTTCACATGGTTTCTGGCGGCAGCACAGACTGAGAACACTGACCCCCATCTGTAGTCACGGACCCAGTCATGACCCTAGGTAGCAGCATGGACTCAGACCTGAGGTGGAGCATCACCGTGGCCTGAGGTGCCAGTGCAGGCCAGCTGAGTCAATTTGGCCCTCAGCTGCAGTACAGCCCACAGAGCATTATTATTATTTTATTTATTTTTCGTTGTTTATTTGTTGTTTATTTATTTATTTTTTTTTTCAAGACAGGGTTTTACTGTATAGCCCTGGCTGTCCTGGAACTCACTCAGTAAACCGGTCTGGGCTTGAACGCACAGAAATCTGGCTGCCTCTGCATCCCAAGTGCTGGGATTAAAGGTGTGCATCACCACCATCCGGCTACGTGTATGGACGTTTTGCCTTCATGTATGTTTGTGTACCACATGCATGTGGTACCTGTACAGGCCAGAAGAGGGCGTCAGAACCTCTGGAATTGGAGTTACAGAGTGTGATGTGTTGCCATGTGGGTGCTGAGAACTGAACCCTGGTCCTCTGCCCAAGTTAACAAGTGGTCTGAAGAGCTGAGCCATCTCTTCAGCCCTAGGGTCTTCTTAATCTAAAGGCCCTATCTAAATACACGCCACAGAAACTGGGGAGGGGGCAGATGCTAACAATTCCATACATGACAGTCAACATTCTTATTTCTCTGGAACCAAAATGTTTAGTATAGTCACGGCTCCATCAAAACCCACAGAGATGAGCTATTCAAAGAAATCAGCACGGCAGGATGCAATCGCGTGCCATTGCTGTTACTATCATCATCAACTTTTCCCTGAGACGTTAGGAACCCGTTCGTCATGTATTTGATGGCTTACGAAGCAAACTTGGAAAACTAACTCATTTAAGTGCATTCTCCGAGCCCTGGTGGGGCAGGCAGTAAGCTGAACAGTATAACACAGGTGTTGCCATTTTATAGGCGTGTCGAAACACATACACACACAACCTGTAATCTAAATCACATAAGATAGTAAACAAATGAATGGAAGAAGTAAAAGATGCCATTGGAGTTTGGAAGAGAAATAAATCGTGGAATTAATAATAATAATAATAAGTATTCTTTATTGAATATTTGCCATGAATTTGACACAATATAACTATAAGTCTCCATTTTTAAAGATTTCATTTAATTAATTAATTAATTAGTTTGTTTATTTAGATAAGGTTTCTCTGTGTAGTCCTGGCTGTCCTGGGACTTGCTCTGTAGACCAGGTTGGCTTCCAGCTCACAGAGATGAGCCTGCCTCTGCCTCCTGAGTGCTGGGATCAAAGGCGTGTGCCACTGCCAGCTCGCTGAGTCTATTTTTAAGCTATTACAAGATTGTGACCTTCCTGGGTCCTTCCTCTCTGTGGGCACTGGGCTGTTCCTGGGAAGCTGCTGGCCCAGCAGGGCTGTCCTCAGGTGTGTCACAGCACTGGAGGTGGCTTAACCGGAGCTGTTGGGGTGGGTAGTCCCAGCTCAGAGGCTGTGTATCAGTGGGAAGTGTAGCAAAACTCTCTCACGGGCAAAGATAATTAAAACATGTATCCTGTCCTCTAGACACTACTAAATAAGTAAGTTTTACTTCGCTGGTTCCTGAGGACATGAGGGAGGGGGTGTCTTCATCCGTGTTTGGAAACACACAGTGACACAACATCTGGCCACAGCAGCTCCACGCAGGTATTGAAGAAGAACCCTGTTTCCCACAGTGACTTGCGTGGTGGGCAGTTGCCAGAGAACAGAGGGAGAGAAGAAAGGCTGGCTTCCAGCTTCAAGTGTGAAGCAGGGAATTCTGGGTTGAGGTCAAGGCAAGAGAACCATCCAGCCCTCACCAGCTTGGTGACAGAGGGACATGCGGAGCCAGTTAGTAAAGTGGCCAACTAAAGGTTAGAGGCCCTTGATGCCCTGCTTAAGAGCAGAGCCAGCGAGAACCCTGATGTTCTGGAGTACATGAGAGGTGACACGTTTGGGAATTAAGTAGGAGGTGGGTCAGGAGGAGGGATTTGAGAATCTGGAAGGGGGAGATACTCTCGACGGTATTTAGGTATTTAAACAGGCACTGAATTCCTGGACCCGTTATGGAGTGCTTGCTGTAGATCAGGAGCCATTATGTGTAGCGATCACGGGATTCTCCAGCAACCAGGCAGGCGTTGGGGAAGCAGAAGCTTGGGCCCTGACCTGGGGCTGGTCTGATCCCACCGGCTCTCCTGGGCTGAGGCTGCTCTGGCTAAGGGACAAGGGTTTTCCCACCACGCCAGCCAGTGCAGGCCTCAGGAAGACTGTGAATATTTGGGGAGAAATGAGCATTTGTTTTGAAGTGCTTTCCCACTGCAGATCTCGGGATGGATGTAGGGCATGTGCGCGCACACGTGTGTCAAGGTCACAGGGCCGCCTCCCCGACTGGGCAAGGCTCAGGAGCTGAGCTCCGGGAGGGCGGCGGGCCTTGGGAAGGAGCCTGGCTGGACCCGGGAGCCAGCGGTGGGAGGGGAAATGCCTTTGTGACCCACCCAAGTCCCTCCCCTCCTCGGGCTCTGTGATGCTGTAAGGCAAAGGCTGGCCCGACATGTCTGTCCCAGGCATCCTCCCTCCCTGTGTGTCACAAACGCGGAGGCGGCCCTATCTGGAGCAGTTGGGGTGGGCAGGCCCAGCTGGGAGGCGAGCGGGCGAGGAGAGCGGCCACGATGGTGAGACTTCCCAGCCGGGGCTGGCCAGGGACGCGCGCGGGTGCCGGGTAGAGAGCTGGGGGCCCCCAGGGGTGGCTGTCGGGCACATCTGCTGGGCTCCAAGTCTTCTGGAGGGGGTATGCATCAGTTCAGGGTCAAAGGTTTTGCACCCAGGGGTGGGTGGGAAACATCCGGTACCATATATATATATATATATATATATATATATATATATATACATATTTTTTAATTTTTATTTTCTTCTTCACAATTTATTCGTTATTTATCCCGATTGACGCCCCCCTCCATCATCTCCTCCCCCCCGCCCCGCTCCCACCCACCCCCTTCTCTTCCCCTCATCCCCTTCCCCTAGTCTACTGAAAGGGGGAGTTCTCCAGTATTGCCATCTATTTTGTGGACAGTGTAGAGCGCAGGGGCCGTTGGACCCTTAAAGGGACCCAAGAGAGATCTGCGCTTGCTAAGGAGAGGAGGGCGCACCTGGCGAGCCCGGTGGAGAGGCGAGTTAGAATTTGCAGGACTGCCGCTCCGCCCGTGGCCCGGAGTGAGAAAAAATGAGGCGCCGAGGGAGTCTGGACAGGTGGTCTGGACCTGGGTGGCTGAGGGTGGAGAAGGGAATCAAGTCTCCAAACCGAGTCAAAAGTGACGGGCTCCGCTCTGGGGCCATTCTCCACCCTCATCATCCGGCCATCGGCCTGGGTTGGGGGCTACTCCGATTCCAGCTGCGTCTTGCGGACCCAGCCAGCTCCGCAGGTGCCTGCCCCGGGTGCTGGCTCTCCAGTCATCGGCTGGGGTTTGGGTCACCCTCTGTGCGAGCTGGGTCCTAGCTTCGCAGGCGCCTGGCGCTGGCTCCTCACCTTTCCAAGCGGTCAAAATCAGGAAGACTTTAGGACTGGAAAGTTTCCTTCCCCAGGGACCAGGGACCAGGACCTCAGCCTTTAATTTTGTTTCCTTTTCTGGCTTGAGTCAGCAACTCCTCTCCCGTAACGGCTGCAACCTTTATAGCTGGACCCCCTCCTGAGCGCTACAGCAGCTCCGCCAGAGCCCCTGAGGTGCACCTCGGCAGGGACTAAAGTTGGCCTCAATCACCTCTCCTGCCCCCCCCACTCCCCATCCCCCATCCCCCTGTCCCGACGTCTGGAAGCCCTAGTGTACCGGACAGAAAGGTTAGGGTGGAGGTGGGACAGAATAAGTATCTTACAGACCAAGGTCAGGTTCTCTGAGCCTCTTGCTCCGGTGTCAGTGACAGAGCAGAGGGCCAGAACCTCCCTTCTCTCCTCCCCACCCTCTCTCTCTTCCCTCCCCCTTTCCCCTCCTCCCTCCCTCTTCCCCTCCTCCTCCTGCCACCCCTCCTCCTCTCTGGCTGTTCATTTGGGAGAGTGTCCAAGACTTTCTGGAGCTGGTATCTCCTGTAAGTCCTGCCTCTAAGCAGATCACTCCCCAAGCATACTCTCAGACGCACCTGGGAGCTTGAAGAGTTTGGCAACACAGGAGAGGGTGACCAGGAAACCGCTTCTGCTCAGGTCCCTGATGTGTGGGACCATAGAAGGAGGGCAGAGCTTAAGCTCAGAGATTAGGGCACTTGGCCATGCAGCTAGCTGTGTGACTTCAGGAAGGTCATTAAACTCCTCTGGACTGGTTTTTCTCATCCACAAAATGACGAGGGCTTAGTTCAGACTTCCAAGGCTCTACACAGATTTTAGGCTTTTTTGTTCTAGAGTGATTTAAATATATTTAAATATATATGAATTATACACATACACTTATATGTGAAGAGTAAATGATCATATACTATGCATCATCCAACTTCACTATCAGTCATTATTTTTTTTAAAGACAAGTACTCACTGTGTATCGCTGCTGGGCTAGCACTCACTCTATGTAGACTAGGCTGGCCCCAGACTCACAGACTCCCCTCACTCAGCTGCTGGGATTAAAGGCATGAACTATTACACCGCTGTCTTGATGGGCATAGTTTCCTGTTCACAGAACCTTTTCCTTTTACCTCTCTCCCTCCATCCCTCCATCCCTCCATCCCTCCTTCCCTCCATCCCTCCTTCCCTCCCTCTTTATTTTCTATTTGGAGAAGGATCTTATTACATTGTCCAGGTTTCCCTTAAATGTGTGCTCTTTTTTCTTCCTTCCTTCCTTCCTTCCTTCCTTCCTTCCTTCCTTCCTTCCTTTCTCCTTCCTTCCTTCCTTCCTTCCTTCCTTCCTTCCTTCCTTCCTTCCTTCCTTCCCTCCTTTCTCAGCCTCTTGAGCAGTTGGGAGACTCACCTCTTTACTTCTTT